CCTGCTGCTTTACCACTCTTCAGTTTGGAGATCGCCCCCCTGACTTCAGTCAGGGAGGGTGGATCCTCGCTGATGGGTGTGTCTGGCAGAGGAGTCTCAACATTACCAGCATCCAAGTTAACTGTTGGTGGATCAACCTGATACAACTGCTCAAAATACTCAGCCCAATGCACACGCACCCCATCAGGATCTGAGATTACCTGGCCACTTGCTGAGCGGACTGCCATCGTCTGTGAGAAGGGCTTGGAGTTCAGCTTTCTCAGGGCTTGGTAGGCAGGACAAAGGCCATTTACTAGGAAATGGCTTTCAACCTCCTCTGCACGAGCCGCACAACAAGCTTCTGTGGCTTCCAGTGTCTCTTGCGAGATCGAATTCTGTCTTGCTCTTGGGCGTTCACCAATGGATTCCTGCGCTGCATCAAGCGTTTCACGCTTGAAGGAATCCCACATAACTACAGGGTCTGTCAGGTCCTTGAGTGCTGTGAGACGACCAGAGATAGCCTCAGCAAACCCCCGGGCACACTCGTCCTCCCTCAGTCTGTCCAGATGAAACACCCTGGGGTGTTCATTTGGTCGATGGGGGGGTTCGAAAGTGGACCCGGAGAGTAGCCACAACTAATCTATGATCAGTTCCACAGAACTCGGCGCTTCGATACACCCTGCAGTTCTGGAGGATCCTCCACCGAGTGCTGAATGGATGTGGTCTATCGATGCGGGTCAGAACGCTGATACCAGGAGCCAGAGATCCTCAATTTCTGGGACCTAGCAAAGTCACGGAAAAGGAGGCTATTCTCGCTGCCAGCATCAGCTCCTGAGCCATGGAGACCGACAGACATCTCGTAGCCAGCTCGATCACAGCCGGTTACCGCACTGAAGTCGCCCAGAACAATACTAATATCTCGCCGAGGACAACTGTCTGCCACAGATGCAATCTCAAGTTTATATACATCCGTAGGAGCGTACACAACAATAAGAGACATGAAGCCAAATGAAAGCTTCAGTCTCAATACCATTATACGCTCATCGACTGGAATGACATGTACTACCTCTGTGTGTGTGTGTGTTTGTGAGCGTATATATATGTACAGATAGTCCCCTACTTAAGAACATTCTACTTACACACATTCCATACATATGAACAATTTTTTAAAAATACTTAAGTCCAAAAAATTGTTTGAAAGATGCTAGCAAACTTCACATTTCCCGGGCGCGAATACAGTTCACGAGTCTGCCACGCCGCGACGCCGCCGCGCTCACTCAGCTGTGTGCATCACTCGCCTGCCCTCCCGCCATAAACACGAAAGCTTCTCTTCACTGAGTCCTTGTGTACCGACAATTTTGGTGCCATAATTCGCTTTACCTGTGCATCAATCTATCAAAAATGTCGGGTGCGAAGAGAAAGATAAACGGTGAAGCCAGTGGAATTGCCAAGAAACGTCAGGCTATAACTTTATGGATCTTATCAATCGGTTTGTCAGCCAGTCACAACTATATATTTTCTTTTTGAATAAATTATGTTTCTACATTTAAAGTTGTATAAATCGCCATCAAATAATATGAACCCTTTCACGACGAGTGACGCCGCTAGGCGTGAAAAGAAACCGCACGAAAAGTGCCGTGCGGCTGTACGCCGCGGCGGCGCCAAGCGCGGCGAGCCAGTGATTCGGCCTGATGTACCGAACTCACGCCCTCAAAGTCGGCGCACTGCCATTGTTTGCCAGAGCATAGAGTTTTGTAGAGTTTTTTATTTGCCAGTCACCACTACAATATATTTTCTTTTTGAATAAATTATGTTTCTACATTAAAGTTGTATGAATCACCATCAAATAATATTAAAAGCATTATGTATTACAGGTACTGTATAAGGTACGTCGTACTTATTGGGATTTATGTACAGGCATTCTTAATGTAAACAAAAATTTAAAACAATGGGGAAAAAAGGCAATAGAGACCCGACTTTCGACATACGGTCAAATCGACTTCCGAACAGCCTCTCGGTCCCCATTATATCCATAAGTTGGGGACTTACTGTATATATATGTGTTTGTGTGTGTTTGCGCGTGTATATATGTGTGTGTGTGTGTGGATATTTAGTTATATATATGTATATATATACTTATATATATATACTTGGGCTTTTTTTGTTATTAAGCCGACCGGGTCTCGCTTCTACCATCCTGAGACTCTGCTCCCTTATGCCGACCACACTTGGCCTGACCGCCTGACCCCTTGACCTGTCCTGACCTGCCCTTCGATTGCCCAGTTCGCTCTTTCTCTTACTTCTTCCTCTCTCATTCCTCTTCAGATTTGAATTATTATCAACTTTGTTGGTTTTATAAACGTTATAATTTTCAATAAAATAAATGTCATAATAATGTCATTATCATCATGAATATCATTGTATCAGATTCATGAAACTTATTTTCTTCGTTATCATCATTTCCATTATCATTAATGTAATAATTTTAATAATTACTATCAGTATCATGATTATCATTACTTCTATAATTATTGTTTTTTTTTATTTTTGTAGTCACCATCAATAGTATAAACACGTGGTAAATGGAGAGAAAAAGATATATACCCTACATAGTTATTAGCTATTTTACACACGATCTTTACGAAGCTGGATGAAATCACTCTGACTCTTCGCTGTCGTCTTCTTGTGGCGACTCGTCCCTCTCGTCTTGTGGCGACTCGTCCCTCTCGTCTTGTGGCGACTCGTCCCTCTCGTCTTGTGGCGACTCGTCCCTGTCAGCTGCCCCCTTAGACTTGGCCTTTCGCCCTGCCCCTTCCCTCCTGCCTACTGCTTCCGGACGCTCAGCCCTGCCTGCGGCTTGCACAGGCTCGTCGCTCTCTGGTGCTCTCCTAGCCTTCCCTCGGCTGCCAGCTGCTAGCCGAGGCTTGTCTCTCCCGCCTGCCGCTCCCCTTATCCTGTCCGTGGCAGCTGCTGGCGGAGTCTCGTCGCTGCCAGCAGCTTCCCGGGGCCTCCTCCTCCTGCCTGAGGCCGAGGGCTGGCCGGCGGCCGTCGGCTCAGGCTCACGTGGCGGCTGCAGGTCCGGCAGGAGAAGAAGCGCGTTAGCAACACCTTGGGAGGATTTCCCACACTCTATCGTGGACGAATTTCTCTTCATTCGAGTGTTTACAATTACAAATACACAAATGCGCGTGCGCACACACACATACTTGCACATGTGTATATACATGTATGCATATACACATGCACATGTGTGTATATATATACATACAACCATACATACACACATTCATATATATAAGTGTTCATATATACACACATATACATATATATACACATATGTATACGTATATATGTATAGAATATATATGTATATATATATTATATGTATGTATATGTATATGTACATATATATACATACACATACGTCCATTTATATATATACACACAGACATATATAAATATGTGTGCATATATATCTATATATACATATATATGCACACACAAACATACACACACACATATATATCTACATATATATATATATATATATATATATATATATATATATA